TGTCTGGTGTACAGACTACACATGTCTGGTGTACAGACTACACATGTGTCTGGTGTACAGACTACACATGTCTGGTGTACAGACTACACATGTCTGGTGTACAGACTACACATGTGTCTGGTGTACAGACTACACATGTCAGGTGTACAGACTACACATGTGTCTGGTGTACAGACTACACATGTCAGGTGTACAGACTACACATGTGTCAGGTGTACAGACTACACATGTCTGGTGTACAGACTACACATGTCAGGTGTACAGACTACACATGTGTCTGGTGTACAGACTACACATGTGTGGTCTGTACAGACACCTGTTGTTCCCGGTACAAAGCAACACCTGACGAGGCAGCTGTGCACTGCTGCCGTCCCCTAACCCCCCCTCAATCTCCTCCCTAGTCCCCCCGTCCCCTATGGTCCCCACCCTGAATCCCCGCAGTCCCCAACGTCTGCCAGATTATTCCGTCAACGTGAACCCTCCATCCCCGACACCCAGCCATATGTATCCCAAGTCCCCCTCGTCCCCCATGGTTCTTACAGTCCCCAATTGGCCCGTATTCCTCCAGTCCCCCCCCCACGGTTCCTCAGGGCCCACGTTGGTCTTTCCCTCGTCTCAAGTCCCCCCTAAACGTTCCCCCGTCCCCCATGGTAACTCCAATCCCCCTGAACCCTCTCCATCCCCTAAGGTCCCCCACAACCCACGACCGTCCCCCCGTCCCCCACTCACCGACTTGCAGAACGTCGTGCACGGCCCCCGCCTCCAGGAGCCTCACGCCCCGGTGGTAGGGGGAGTGCTGCCCCCCCTCCCCCGCCCCCTCCGAGAAGCAGGAGTACATTTTAATGTTCGCCTCGTCCCGTGGGAAGCTCCAGTACACCAGACGTCGCTGGACGGGCTCGGGGACCCGTGGGCAACGGTCCTCGATGCTCTGGAAGGAGAAACGTTCCGCCACGACCCGTGCACAAATGTCCAGCAGCGAGTCTACCCGTCGCCGTACGTCTTTTTCCTCAGGGTAGAACGTTCGCGATGACCCGTCAGGGTAAAACGGCCCGTGTGATGACGTTCTAGAGCAGACGTTGTCGGACGTTACACGTCGGGAGTCGCTGCTAGAGTTCAGGAAAGACGTAGAACAAGAAGTAGAAGACGGGCTTGTACGTCGGTAGAACGTACTCGACGTCGCGCCTCCGCCACCTCCACCCGCCATTGAAGTGGAAGAGCTTCCGGTGATGTTAGAGGTGGATGACCCTGATGAATTTCCGCTAAAACCGCCGTTTCCGCCGCTATGGAAATGGCCCGACCTCTGGCAAGGGTTAACCGGTTGAGATGGAACGTGGAACGGGTTCACACAACCGCTGTGTTTACCCGTGGGGGGTTGGAAACGAAAACCTGCCGCCCCATCCGCCGGAGGTAACCGGGACGAGGTCCCAAAGTAACTAGACGACGAAGCCGCGGTTGTAAACATGGCTGAGTTGTTTGCATATAAAGGATTGCTGACACTCATGATGATGGAGGGCACAGCGTAACCCACCATCCTGTGTGACGACGAGCTTGGTGACGAGGCTAAGCTGTTCTGTAAAAGCATGGGTGGTAACACCAAACCGCTTGAACTGCTCCCAACATTTCTAGGACTAACACCTTCACTGTTGACGGAGGAACCACCGCGACTAGCACCACACCCTCTCTCCATCACGGCCGCAGCCCGACTGACGTTTGCTTAGTTCTCATGCACGATTAACACACGAGTTACCCCGCCCCACGAACCGAGTTACCCTACACCCGGCATGTATTACCCTAGATTCTGGACTTGTTACCCATATTCCCATGCCTAATTACTCCCAAATCAAGAGAAAATACCCTAAATCCCAAAATTACCCTGAAACCCAGCAACAGATCAATGGCATCGCGGAACGCATGGCCTGGACAGGAAGGTGCACGCGTACACGCGTGTGCGTGTTCGTGTGTTCGTGTACATGTATGCGTATATTCGTGAGCATGTCTTCGTGGCCGTATAATCACGTATCGTGCATGCAGATAAATAGCTGTAATATACAGTAGTATAACTATACAGTAGTATAACTATACAGCAGTATAATCGTACAGCAGTATAACTATACAGCAGTATAACTATACAGCAGTATAACTATACAGCAGTATAACTATACAGCAGTATAACTATACAGCAGTATAACTATACAGCAGTATAACTATACAGCAGTATAACTATACAGCAGTATAACTATACAGCAGTATAACTATACAGCAGTATAACTATACAGCAGTATAACTATACAGCAGTATAACTATACAGCAGTATAACTATACAGCAGTATAACTATACAGCAGTATAACTATACAGCAGTATAACTATACAGCAGTATAACTATACAGCAGTATAACTATACAGCAGTATAACTATACAGCAGTATAACTATACAGCAGTATAACTATACAGCAGTATAACTATACAGCAGTATAACTATACAGCAGTATAACTATACAGCAGTATAACTATACAGCAGTATAACTATACAGCAGTATAACTATACAGCAGTATAACTATACAGCAGTATAACTATACAGCAGTATAACTATACAGCAGTATAACTATACAGCAGTATAACTATACAGCAGTATAACTATACAGCAGTATAACTATACAGCAGTATAACTATACAGCAGTATAACTATACAGCAGTATAACTATACAGCAGTATAACTATACAGCAGTATAACTATACAGCAGTATAACTATACAGCAGTATAACTATACAGCAGTATAACTATACAGCAGTATAACTATACAGCAGTATAACTATACAGCAGTATAACTATACAGCAGTATAACTATACAGCAGTATAACTATACAGCAGTATAACTATACAGCAGTATACACTCACACACTTGTATGGCTGTGTAGATATTACGTGTAGGAAGCGCAACGTTTCGTTACACATGAAATACATCTTGTGTTCGTATTAATACACAAACAAGCTGTGTAGAGCGTGTATAATGTATGAACATACAACAGGCTGTCAAGTTACACTGTACTGCTAGTCCAGTATATATATAGCAGGCTCAGTATATATACTGTACTG